ATATATCATTGATACAAAATTAGTTAGGAATTGATGTACTTTTGTGATAATTTCCTATCTAGTAAGCATATAATGACTAATAATAATGTTCATGGAAATGTTTAATTTAATTTAATACATTAAAATAATAAATTAGCAAAAAATAAATTAAATAAAATAAATGTTCAAAGCCTGTTGGGTTGACCCGAATTTAAAACTTTGGACAAAGGTTGAACATTTCTTGACTCGTAACCTAAAGTGACCCACTCCGAGATGACTCATGACCCGACCCTAATTATCATATTTACCTATAGTAATAAAATTCTACTTCGTATTAAATTGGGAAGTATATTATTTTAACCGATTACTCCTTCCGTTCCTAAATTATAGTCCTACTTCTAGTATTTATTCCTTACATAATATAGAGAAGTAGAAATGTAATTTAGGGATGGAGGGAGTAGTATATATTATAAATAGATGTTTTACGCTTTAAACTACTTCCTTCGCTCAAAAAAAAAAAAATTATGATATAAAAATAAATTTATCTGATAATTTTTTAGAATTATAATCTAAATTATTAAATAAAATTATAATTCAATTTGTACATCTGAAATAATGGTATTTTATCGAAAATTAAACTCCAAACTAACAATTTTATCCTAAAATTCTATGCAAATAGAATTCTAAACTTTTTTTTTATATATAATCTTTTGAAATATCTTTAAATCTATACAACATGGCGCGACATTTGGCGAAAATTTAGAACGCCAAGTTTCGTTGCCTCGTTATCTGGTTAAATGTTTAGTTTTATATATTAGTTATATGATATTATGTGAAACAAGTTAACATGATTTTTTACTTTATTTAATTCTCGCTCCTCCCACCTCCCTGCCTCCTTCCATAGCTACCACCATATATAACCACCACCCTAAAAACCCCCGACCATTCTTAAGCCCCTTGACCACTCCGAAACCCCTCAGCCACGCTGGAAAAACCCCTGATCACCCCAAAACTCCAACCCTCAGCCCATAAAACCTCACCCTATGATCATAATATTTCTCTTAACCAAATATTTGTATATTATTATATTTGGTTAGAAAATAAAATTAACCTATTCAATATCATTAAATGAGGTTAGTTTATTCTTTTCTAATGTTATTATTATGTGGAGTAAATTTACTCCCTATAACAAGAGTAAGGGTCTGTTTACATATATTGAATGAACCAAACTGAACTAATTAGAGTTGAACTGCATATTTTATGAGAGAAGGACATAAGGAGCTGAACAGAATTGAACTGATTGGAGCTGAATTGAAATGAACTGAAATTAAGATGAAGTGAACATGCCCTACAGTAACTACCCCCTCCGTTTTTAAATACTTGCTCCATTTCTCCATGCGCGTTCTCTATGTGCGGAGTTTTAGGAGAAATTGGAGAAAGTAATAAAATATGGAGGTAGTGGGGTTGGTGAAAGGATAAAAAATTGTAAAAGGAAAAAATAGTGGAAAGAATTGGAGGAGATAGAATATATGTTGGGTCCACTAAGTGAGAGAAATTAATTAAATATTGTAAAAGCTTTCCAAATAAGGAAATGAATCAAGTATTTAAAAACGGCCGAAAAAGAAAAGTGGAGCAAATATTTTAAAACGAAGGGAGTATAATTTATATTAATATACGGAGTAAATTTCACCCTATAATCCCTACCTATAAATTTTGTGCAATATCTATTATATTGCTATTATTATTACAAAATGGATAGAGTATATAATTTTACAAAAATTGAAAGAGAACATAAAATCAGCATTGTACTAGTAGTGAATACTCTTGATCCTACCGTGTTGGTCAATATGGTCATAGTCAGATACACTCTTTCTTTGATAGTCATAAACTTATGAATGATACGAGTACAATAAAGAAAAGAGGATTAGTTAGTTAGAGCATTCCCATCAGTGAGGAGAATTTTGCTCATGAGCAAAATTGATGAGCAAAATTGCAATATTAGCTTCCCCACCAATGAGCAAATCAAAATATGCTCATGAGCATAATTAGATTTGCTCATCCTATGAGCAAAAATGAAAGTGAATAGTGAATTCGTGGGGCCCAGCAAGTGTACAAACTGACCTTTTTTTTTTTTGCTTTTGACACCCTCAAAACGACGAGTTTTGGGTTTGGGTGTGAAGACCTTTCCCCCAAAACGACGCGTTTTGATGGCAGCCAAGCAAAAAAAAAATGCAGCTGCTGACAGGGGCGCGTCAGTCCAGCGAATGGGAAGCTGACACGCGTCCCTGTCAGCTTGTTCCTCCAATCAGAAAATGTTACCGTTTAGCAACGGTAATTTGGCCGTTTTATAATTATTAAAAAAAAAATATTCATCAACGGTTATATATTTTTTTTCTCTACAAATAGAGATCCATTTTGACATATTTTGGTATAATTTCAAAAATCACAAAAACACTCAATATTACTCTTAATCCCATTTCTAGTGAGATTTATGTTATATTTTGTAATATAAAGTTGAGAAAGGTTAAATTTTTTTTTTTGGTTTATTATTTTTAATTACTGTTTTTAGTACTCTAATATTTTTACAAAACGTTATTAATGATATTTTAAGTAGCAATATTTTGTTTTAGTTTAAAAAAACCAAAAAACTCTTTATTATTTTTACTCCCAAGTTTAGTTAGATTAAATTTTCATTTTCTAATATAAAAGTTCAAAATGGTTCTTATTTTTTAGTATAACTACTTTTTTTCTTAACAAAAAAAAATATTTAATTACTTTTTGTAGCACTCAGAAATTATTTAAAACGTTATTAACGTTATTTTATTTTAATTTAGGTGTGCCTCTTAAGTATATATTGTTGTTTTTAATTTATTATACAATATAATGGATCCAAACAACCCTAATTACAATCAACTTGCTCAACATTTTTCTGATTTAGGTGATGATTTCATCAATAGTCCAAATTTTCAATTATTCCTAGAAAGATTGGGCAACCCTTCTTTTCAAAATTCCGTTCATCAACCAACACCTCCACAAATTCCCAACAATGAAAACACTTTTTTTGAGCAACAAACTCCTTCCGTTACCGAAGGGAGCAATTCTGAGTACGATGTCAGCCAAGAAGAAGCTGTTCCGGAGACACCATAGTACCCTCCACCACCTCCTAAGATTCCGGCCAATCAACCACTTGCCAAAGCGAGTCGCATTTGGTCGGCTGCTGAGGACGAAGCTCTAATTGGGTTCTACCTAGAACTAAGTGATGATGCGCTTCGTGGTACGAGCAAAAAGGCATCCGAACTATGGCGAAAAGTTCATGCAGCTTACTGTAAACTACAAGCTGAGAAACCGCATATTCTCCCGCCAAGACCTATGAAGAGTTTGGAGACACATTGGAGAAGAATGGCAGCTGATTTGCTACAGTGGACTAATTGCTATGAGGAGGCGAGCAAACTCCCTGAAAGCGGAAGTGGTTACAACGAAGCCGATCGAATTAATTAAACACGCTTCCAAGTTGTTTTATATCTCCTCTAATCCACAACATAATTTTGCATTTCCACATGGAGTGGAAATGGTTAATAAAGATCCGAAGTGGAGGACTAAACTAAGATGGGGTCTGTCAAAGGAGGAAAGAAAGGGTTGCGGTGCCGATGATGAGGAAGATAGCAGTGGAAGTGGGAAAAGGTCTAGGGCGGAGAGTGAGAATGAAATCCGTACTGATGGATTTATGTCCGGAGGATTACCACGACCAGACGGTGTCAAAAAAACGAAGGCTAAGCGTAAGGGCAAAGCAGTTGCTTTCGAAAGTGCAATATTGAGCATTAGTGAGCAGATAAAGGCGTATACTGAGGTTAGAGAAAGGGAGGCGAATTTACGACAACAACGGTTGGAACTTGATAGAGAAAAGGAAAAGAGGAAGCAAAAACAAGTTGATTTAGTAGAGAAGAAGATGAATTTTGATATGCTTCAATCACTTTTAGCAAGGACAACACCACTCACTCCAGCTGAAGAGGCCCACAAGGACGAGTTACTTCAATTAGTCTACGGTAGAAATTGACTGTATTTCCTTAATGAGTTTATTTTTAATTAGTTGTATTATTTGGTTAGATTTGTTTAATTAGTTTATCTTTAATTAGATTATCTTTATTTTGTTCAAATTTAATTAGTTTATTTTTAATTAGTTGTATTATGAGTTTAGATTTGTTTAATTATTTTATCTTTAATTAGTATATCTTTATTTTGTTCAATTTTAATTAGTACTATTTTGAGGTTAGATTTCTTTAGTTAGTTAATATTTAATTAGTTTAATTTTTATGAGTTGTATTCATGTCCCTTGTCTTATTAGACATTGAGTAGTCATATGTCTTTCATGTCAGTTGTATAATTGTATTTTGAATAGTCAAGATTCTTTTCTGTCTTACTATCTTAAGTGACATTGAATTGTCAATCATGTTTCATCACTCATTGAATTGTCAATCATGTTTCATCAGTCATGGAATTGTCATTCATATTTTGGACCTCTCATTGAGTTTTCATGCTTATAAATGATAGTGATACCATCTTACGCAAATATAATCCAACTCCTCAAAAATATCCAAACACCCAAGTAACAAGCAAACACAATGTTTTCCATTAGCTCAACCTCCAGCTCTTCTGATTCTGATCAATACGTAGAATTTGATCATTTAGTTGACGAATTTGTCACAACCCATCTACCAACTTTGTTGTATAACAACCAAACACAACCCTAACCCGTATCCGATGTTGAATGTGTTCCAGAGCGTAGAGGGGATACGAATAGAAGAGATAGGGAAAAGGGGCATGTTCAATTATTTAATGATTACTTTGCGAGTAATCCAGTTTATAGAAACAAACAATTTCGGCGTAGATTTCGAATGCAACGACCTTTGTTTTGTAGGATTATGAACAAGGTGGTCGAGGGGGATCAATTCTTCCAGTAGCGTAGGAATGCAGCTGGAAGGCTTGGGTTATCACCGTTGCAGAAATGCACCGCTGCGATTAGAATGTTGGCGTACGGTACCTGTCCAGATGCGGTGGATGAGTATCTGCGCATTGGCGAAACTACCTCCAGATTGGCTTTGCAACATTTTTGTCAAGGGGTTATTACACATTTTGAAGCTGAATATCTCAGAAGTCCCACCGACGAAGATTTAAGGAGAATCTTGCATCAAAATGAAATGCGATGTTTTCCCGGTATGATAGGTAGCATTGACTGCATGCATTGGGAGTGGAAGAATTGTCCTATGGCTTGGAAAGCGCAATACGCAGGCCGTAATAAAAATGCAACCCTCATTCTGGAGGTCGTTGCAGATCAAGATTTATGGATTTGGCATGCATTCTTTGGAATCCCGGGACCTTGTAATGATCTTAATGTCCTTTACCGATCTCCGGTCTTTGATGATGTTCTTCATGGTCGGGCACCTCCAATTCATTTCACCGTGAACGACCATGAATACAAGTTGGGCTATTACTTAGCAGATGGCATTTATCCAAAATGGGCTACTTTTCTTCAAGGTATAACACTTCCACAACTTCAAAAGGATAAATTATTTGCTGATAAACAAGCTGCAGCTCAGAAGGACGTTGAACGGGCCTTTGGGGTTTTACAGGCTAGGTTTGCCATTCTACGACAACCCTCCCTTGCGTTTAACGAAGACATATTGTGTGACATAATGAAAGCTTGTATCATTATGCACAACATGATTGTCGAAGATGAACGACACAACTATGCTCGGGCCAAAGTCTTAAGAAGGTACTATGAACAAGATCGCCCGCAAATTACAAGACCCACTACAAGTGCTACACTTAACAACAACGAGCCTTTTGAATTCAATGTTAGCCGACCGCCAAACGTTGATTTCGACACGTACGTCCATAGAAGAATGTCACTACGTGATAGAGACACTCATGTTCAATTAAAAGCGGATTTAGTGGAACACATTTGGCAAAAATATGGTTCTATTAATGAGTAAAAAAAATAAATTTGTCGTAAGATTACAATTTAATAGAGTATTAATCGTACGTTTAAAATCTAGGTTCGTTATTGGTTTGTAGTATTAAATGTAGTCGTAGGCCAATTAAATTTTATGTTGTATTAAATTTATAATTAATTAGCGATTAAATTTCAATATTATGAATGAATATTTAATAATTGTATTAAATTAAATAATAGTATAATTGTAATTAGTACCCATAAATATTCATTTAACCAAAACATAATAAATAATAATAGGGTGATGCGTAAGAGAGAGAGATATTGGTGGGGTATGTGAAAAAGTAGGAGAGAGATCGATGATCATTTTTTTTTGCTCACTAGTGGGATAAAATTTTCTCACTAAAAATGCTCATGAGCAAATTTAGTTGGGAAGAGAGAGAAAGTGGGTAGAGAGAGAATGAGGAGAATTTTTTGGGATTTGTTAAACATCGCCAACAAATTACTACATAAAGCCCACAAAATTCACTTGGTTTGACAATATTGCCCTTGACCTAAAAAAAAAACACTCACACTCTCATCACTCACACTCTCATTGCTCATCTTCTTTCAACCTCTCTAAAAAAAAAAAAATTTCAAACAACGGCAATGTCGAGGCGGCAAGGCAAGGAATTGGCGGCGGCGGCGGAGGGAAGGAGGTCCCAAGGAGGCAAGGTACAATTTGTAAAAAAAAAAAAAGGAAAAACCGCCGTGACGGAGGTGGGGCGCCCTGGCTGGACGCCCAGCCAGCGGTGGTGGCGCCAGCTGCAGACGCCGCCACCAGTAGGCTGGCGCCTGGGATGGACGCCATAGCCACGGTTGTGGCGTTTATTCAAGGCGCCGCAGCCGTGGCTGTGGCGTCCAGCCCAGGCGCCAGCCCACTGGTGGCGGCGTCTGCAGCTGGCGCCACCACCGCTGGCTGGGCGTCCAGCCAAGGCGCCCCCCCCCCCCCCTTTTTTTTTTATATATTTGTTTTAAAATATTGTTTTTATTTATTTTTTTTATTTTTTTTGTGTAATATCTTTTTGAATTGTTTTTATATTTTGTTGTTTATTTTTATAAATTTTTTCAATTTTGTTGTATTTTTTCTATGTTTATATTTTGTTTACAATTATTTGTTTGTTTTTTTGTACATTTTGTGTAGAATTCACTGGGTCGTCATGGTGCGGGGAAGAATGTAGAGCTTCTTAGTAGAAGCTATTCAGTGGAGAGGTCGGGGCATAGACATGTCAGATCCCGTGGTATTTCGGCCTCAGCTCGTAGAGAACGGATCCACCGTTGGGATGAGGATGACGATGACGATGATGATGCTGAGGAGGGTGACCAGGAGGAGGAGCAGGAGGAGGGCGCAGATGAGGATGAGGATGTGGACGATGGCAGTGGACCGTATGATGATTACGGTCCATTCAGTCAGAGGGTTGATGACATGTACGAGACACATATGGTGGAGGTGCGTAAGGGTAGGGGTGGTAGGTTTGTTAGTAGATCTGGCACATCATCTGCGTCCACTGTATCTGGGGCAAGCAGGAAACGGTCGAGGGCCGGTAATGATTCTTGGGTTGTTAGGAGTGAGGTGCCCGGTGGGCCTGTTGACGGGAGTGTGATTCCTAGCTTTCTAGGACACATAGCTGCCCGTATTTGGGAGGACCAGGAGAGGCCTTCAGTTACGGGGTTGTTGAAATGTCATACCCGGGAAAAGACTTGTAGCTTTTTGCGTACATGGGCTGAGGCTTGGCCGGCGGAGAGCGAGATGTTCGAGCGACTGGAGGGCACTGGGGTGAATCACGTTCCTGCCACCATGCACGATAAGATTGACAGTACGCTGATCACGACTTTCATTGAGCGATGGCAGCCGGATACAAACTCTTTCCACCTTCCGTTCGGTGAGATGACGATCATGTTACATGACGTTGAGGCCATTCTGGGGATTCGTGTTGAGGGTAAACGACTTTGTGCTGTGGCTGATGCGGATCAGGCAGATTTGCTGGCGGAGTTGTTGGCGATGGACAGGGCTGCACTGTACACCGAGGCGCTAGGTGTTTGGGAACACGGAGGTGTGAAGATCGCATCCGTGTTGCAGCGGTGTTTGTACCCAGTGCACGTAGGACGCACGACGCACAGCTGAGTGCTTATGTTTTTCTACTCCTCGGATGTACCTTGTTTCCGGATAAGAGCGGCGGAAACAAGCTCAGGCCACGCGACATAGTAGAGGCGTGTGACCCCGACAGTGTAGGCCAGTTTTCCTGGGGATCGGCTACGTTGGCGTATTTGTATCGCCAACTAGGATTTGCGAGTCGGGCTGACGCGGCAGGTATCACTGGGTGTCTGACTCTATTGCAGACCTGGATATACGAGTACTTTCCTGCATTGCGACCACATCGTGACCCAGTTCCTATTGATGAGGGGATGCCGCGTGCTTGTGCGTGGAGTCCGCGCTCGGAGAAGAAGTCCGTTGACCGCCTCCGATCGATACAGTTATTTCTTTCACAACTAGTTTCGCAGCAGGACTTAAGCCGCTCAGATGTCGATGACCCTCTTCATATACTATCATCTCATGGTTGTGATACCCCCATTTAGAGTAACCAATCACTTCCCAACCGTCACGACTCCGTAATTGTCGAACCTTTACTCTGAACTCACACCCACAACCTTTCCGCTTTGTATCAAACCGAGTGGCTGTACGAAAATCTCTTTCTTCTCTTTTGCGATAACGGTCACATCTCAAAATGCGATCCATTCTACCATCCCGTTGAGATTTATGAGTTACTAATACCAAGCAAAATCCAGCTGCAATTGCAACCTGTTTTGCCCAATCAATCGCCTGTTGAGCTTCTTCGAATGGACCATCATGTCCAAATATCCCACTGTAATCATTTCCGTCTCCACCATAACCCTACATCAATTATATATTACAATAAATACATTTAACGGATAATACATTTAATTTCTATATTTACACAGAATTAACACAAAAAAAAGCATAATTATATATAATCAAACTTAATTTTTATAAAAACCCAATTCGAATTTTCAAACTAAATTTAAAAATATACCATTTCGAATTTTCAAACTTAATTTTAAAAAAACCTATTTCGAATTTTCAAAATTAATTTAAAAAAAACCCATTTCGAATTTTTTTAAAAAATCATTTTCGATTTTTTTTTTAAAAAAAAATAAATAAAAAACAACAACAAAATCAAAAAAGAAAAAATAAGTAAATTAATTTATAAGGGTGGCGTCTGCCAGGGCTGCCACAGCCACTGGACTGGCGCCTGGCAGGGCCGCCTCAGCCAGTAGAGTGGCGCCTGGCCAGGACGCCAGTCTGGTGGTCTGGGCGTCTGGGCTGGACGCCACTCTGGTGGTTCTGGCGTCTGCCTTGGACGTCCAGGCTACGGTTTGGGCGTCCATCCTAGGCGCCGGAGCCACTCCGACGGTAAACCATGAATTTTAACGGTGACTTACCTCGTTTTCCGTCGACGTCGACGTACCTCCGGCGTCCCCCGCATCTCCGGCCTGCCCTCCGGTCTCCCCCGGCGAGCCAGTACGGCTCCACATTTTTTAAACCGAGATTATTTCAATTTTAGAAAATGGGCATAATGGTCACACCAAATCATATTTGTGGGCTTTATATGGTAATTTACGGGCGATGTTTAGCGATTCACAATTTTTTTGCTCACTAGTGAGGATGCTCTTAGGGCGTGTTCGGCGTTAGCTTTTGAGTAGCTTTTAGTGGTTTGACCTACTCAACAAAAAATGTGAGTGTTTGGCAAAGTAGTGGTTAGGGTAGCTTTTAGTGGTGGAGGTAACTTTTGTGAAAAGTTAAAAACATTAGCTTTTGAAATTAGAGGTAGCTTCTCAAGTAACTGTTGAAAATTTAATCTATAGTTTTAAAAATAAAAAATTGATTTATATATTTAACAGTTAGTCAACCACTACTTTACCGAACACTCATATTTAAATTATTTATCTTTACAGTTAACAGCTAACAACTACCTACACAGCTAACAGCTACCTCCACAACTACAGCTACCTTCCCAGCTATATTTTGTCGAACACGCCTAGTGAGTCTTACAAGTAAACGAGGAAGAACAAGAAAAAGAAGAGAGATAAAATACTTGTACTAGTAGTATAATTTAGAGAGAGAGAAAAACCAAAGTTGAGCTGCATTTCACATGGCGTCGTCTTTGCCTCTTGGACTTGCTCCTCCAAATCAATCCCACAATCCTCCTCTTCCTCTTGATTCCAAACCACCTCCTTCTCAACAACAACAACAACACTCTTCTATGTCTGACGATAAGATTTCCTTTCTCTCTCTTCACTTTTTTTTTTTTAATTTAATTTTTATTCTACCGATCTTGTTTTCTTCATTTGGTTTCTGGGTTTTTTAAAAAATTTTTAGGGGGTTTTTTATGGAATTTTTTTGGGTGTTTTTGAGTGTTTAGTGGGGTTTTTTTGGGGGTATTTTTAGCTGATAATATAAGTTTTTTTCTGGGTGTTTTTCGGTTTATTTTTTCTATTTTTTTTTTGTTTTGTTTGTTTTGGGTTAAATTTGTGTTTTTGAAGTTTCATTTGGTGAAGTAATTTCAGTATTTTCTTACTTTTTATTTGATTAATTTGATACTACTTTACTACATTTCTGCTGTTGCAGGCGTTACTTAATCATATACAGTAGCTTTCTAGGGTTTCATGGATCACTGTTTTTTTTTTTTTTTTTTTTTTGCAATTATTTTGCTTTGTTTTGGTTGAGAATTATAATTTCAGATCTCTAGATTTAAGGGGTTGTGTACAAAATTGGGTTGGAATTATTCTTGTCTTCTAAATTTTTTTTCCCTTTTAAACTTGTGAGTATAGCTTAATTTTCTAATTACTTATTATAATTAGTTAAATTTGCTCTTTAGTATGGCTTGAGTTGTTTGCTTTATTATGTCATTGTTCTTCGGGTCCTTTCTGAAATTTGTGGGGGTATTTTCATGTTCGGCTTGTAGTTTTCTAGAAATATTA